ACTTAATAAAGTCTTACCACATAGAAGGGGCTCCAAGTATATTTTATTTCATTTTAATTGTTTCTATATGTCATAAAGGCACTAAGTTGTTTTCCCTGTTGGGTTTGGGACTTACTTGTTACCTGTTATTCCTTTTTCTCACCTATTTCTCATTTTTGGAATCGAAATGTCTATCCTATGCCTATCTAATCACTGTGTTATGGAGGACATAACTTGTTCAGTTTTACAGGCTCACAGTTGGAGGGAATTTGCTTCAGGATGAATCTACCTTGAGTCTTATAGATGGATCTTTAGGCTTTAGACTTTTGAGTTGTTGCTGGAATGAGTTAGGACTGTTGGGACAATTGGGATGGAGTAAATGCAGTTTGAATTTTGGGGACTAGGGGTAAATGTGTCCTTCAGAGCTCATGTGTTGGAAACATAGGTTGGAAACAATAGTGTTACGTGACTTTCCGAAGGAGATAGAAAACAAACATGTCTCTCATCTGGTCTGGCACCAACATCCCAAAGAATGACTTGTAAATGTCAAGTCTGATAAGTAAAATGAGTTTAATAGGAATTACTCACAGAATGGTAGACAACTATGCATTCACCCAAAGTTGCCCAGCTCTGTGTAAGCCTACAGTAGAACTGATGCAAAACTGGACTTAGCACGCCACCTAATGTTAAAGCTGCAGAGGTGACTATAGTCTCCAATAACACAGGCGTAGACAACACCAGACTTTAGGGGAAGTTGTATGTTTATATGCACTCCATCTTTCTCTAATCAGGGATTCTGCTGGTCTTAGTAACACTGTTTAACCAGAGGAAGAATGGGTTTGTTTTGCTGCACTCTGGCACATAGAGAAGCTAAAATGGCAGCTTGCTGCAAGTTGGAGTTCCTCTGGCTAGGATCCAGAGGACTAGTTGCATTACAAATATTGAGAGGTGGAACCTTTAAAAGGTGATTAGGCTATGAGAGCTCTGCCTCATGAAGGGATTAATATCTTTATCATGAGAATGGGTTTTCTATAAAAGTGAGTTTGACTCCTTCTCTCTTGTGTGCATGCTCTTTTATACTTCAGCCTCTGTCATGGAAGACATGGCAAAAAGGCCCTTGCCAGATACAGACTCCCTTCACCTTGAACATCCCAGACTCAAGAACTATATGAAATAAATCTCTGTTCTTCACAGATGATCAAGGATCAGGCATTCTGTTATGGCAGCAGAAACATAATGAATAGATGGAGAAACTCAGCATTGGGGTTACTGGAGGTCTCTTTGTCTCTAAAGCCTCCCTAGATCAAAGCCACTTAACAATTTAGGGATCACTAAATCTTCAGAGAATTTGTTTAAAAGCATGGACCACATCATCTCCAGAAAGGTGCACACACTTTTGCATGCAATGTGGAGTATTCATAGACCACTCCCCACAAAGCTTTTTCATGGACCCTCCAGAGATCGTCTAGGCATGCACGATTATGTATTTGATTTGACTGCGTAATGGAAGGAGGGCTTGGGGACTTGTGTGTCCTGATGAGAAGTGCTGGGAAGGGTGGAAGGAATGTTCCTTCTCCAATTCGCAATAAGCTCCCAAATCCTTCTGGAATCAGAGAGATGTGGGTTTGTGTCCCAGATTTAGTTTTTATTGAGACTCAGTTTTCTCTTCTGCAACATGAAATGGTGACAATAAGAATATGTGATTCTTAAGGTTGTGAGAAAAATTCAGTGGGACACTGAACAGACCTGGGATGTAAGAAGTACACATTAAATGGCACCTTAATCCACTCAGGCGTTTATTCACCAATTCAGCTTATTGAGTATGTTTTATGCATTGGGAAATGTTCTACTCCTGACAATCTTGCTATCTTGGACAAGGGCATATAAAAAGGTCACTATGCTTATGGACATTGCACTAGGAGAAGCAGATTAAAGAAACAGATAAGGTGATGTTGGGAAGACACAAGCTATGACTAAAATAAAGCAGAGTGATCTTTAGAAAATGGTGGGAGCTATTTTGGATTGAGTGTTCAGGAAAGACTTTATCTTACTTTGTTTCTGAGCAAAACCCCTGAAAGATGTAGGTGGGTAACAACAGAAGGAGTCAGATGCTGAAAGAACTGGACCAGGAATGAATTTAGGGAAGACATGGAGGCTGGATCATAGTGAACCAAATGAAAGTGGGAGGAGAGTTCAGAGAAGTAATAGGACCATGTCACATAGGGCCATGAGGACCATGGTAGAGACATGGGAGCACTAGAGGGCTTGGATAGGGTTAAGGATATTAGCTAATTTTTTTTTGTGTGGGACTGTGGTTTGAACTCAGGGCATCACTCTTGGAAAATAGGTGCTCCACCACCTGAGCCACACCTCCAGTCCATTTTGCTCTATTTATTTTGGAGATGGGGTGTTTCATGAACTGTTTGCTCAGGCTGGCCTTGAGCCATGTTTCTCCTGATCTCAGCCTCCCAAGTATGTAGGTTACAGGTGTGAGCTTCTGGTGTTTAGCTAACTAATTAATGTTTTAATACGATTTCTCTGACTTGGAGAGTGGTGAAATCATTTCAAGATGTATAACAATGGATGCAGGAAAACTTGCATCCATTTGTGAGAGACTTTGCAGAGATCAATAAAGACATTTTGTTATTTGTTTTTTTGATGTAGGGTCTCACTATGTAACCCAGATTGGCCCTGAACTCAAAATTCTCCTGTCTGCCAGTTGCTGGGATTTACAGACATGTACTGCCATGCCTGGCTCATTTTATGACTTTTAGTCAAGGTTTTATTGAAGCTCAATGAATTTTCACAAACTGAAAATCAAGTAAAAATAGAGCTGGTAACTCTTGTCCTCTTTCAGTCACTGTCTACCCATTATTCTGACATTGGTTTTATCTGTGCTTGCACTTCATATAAATAGAAGCAAATGCAAAACAAACTCACTTTTGGGTCTAGTTGCCTGCAGTTGACATTATGTCTGTGAGTTTCGTCTACATTACTGGCTATAGCTGTAGATTGCTCTTTTTTATTTCTGCATAATATTTCATTGTATGAATCTGTCACTATTTATTCTACATTTATGTTAATGATAAAGACTGACCATTGTCCAGTGTTCCCAAGTAGCTGTATTGATATTATGATCTTTCACATTTCAGGATCATGCTAAAGGACCATCACTTGCCCTTCATATCTACCCAACAGATAGGCCAGAGTCATTCTCTCTGGAAATTTTCAGGAGGCAGCAAGCAGGTGGAAGTTGGGTCACAGAAAGGAGGATTCTTTGGTTGAGATGCAAGGGGGAGATCTGTCTAGACCCAAGAGAAAATGCTAGAAATATTCAACCATCTGTACTGATTGGGCCCCAACCAATCATAGTAGATACTGGCTGGGCCATGGCACCAACCCAAGATGCTGGGTCCTTGGAATGGTAGCCTAAGGAGGAGGGTCCTGGGGTGAGATGCTTAATTACCAATCTGCATCTGAGTGTTTTAACAACAAGCCCTGTACTGAATAATAGCAACCTTTGTGTCTTTATGCTTTGCAGCTTCGAGAAAAATATGGAGATGTGTTCACAGTGTACCTGGGACGGAGGCCTGTGGTGATGCTGTGTGGAACAGATGCCATACGGGAGGCCCTGGTGGACCAAGCTGAGGCTTTCTCTGGCCGGGGGACAATTGCCACTATTGAGTCAATCTTCCAGGGATACGGTGAGTGCTGCAAAAACACTGGGAGGGGGTGGAATGGAGGGTAGGATCTGGGGAAGGTGAGTATGAGGAAGGAGGACAAGTGGTGGGGAAGGACCCAATCTTCCTCTGTAACCCAGGCCTACTTTGCCTCCAGGTGTGATCTTTGCCAATGGGGAACGCTGGAAGATCCTTCGGCGCTTCTCTCTGGCTACCATGAGGGACTTCGGGATGGGAAAGCGGAGTGTAGAGGAGCGGATTCAGGAGGAGGCTCAGTGCCTGGTGGAGGAGCTGCGGAAGTCCAAGGGTAAGACCCAGTGGATGGGAAGGAAAGGAAAGAAAGACAGTAAAACAGAGTGATGTGGGGTGCACAGCCATAGAAAGACAGAGGTATACGTGGATAGAGAGGTGAAGAGAGAGAGACAGAGAGAGAGGAAGAGACTCAGAAAGGCAGAGAGAAACTAAGAAAATTAAGAGAGACAGACAAACAAGATTCAGGGGAAGATCTGCAGAGGAGTGAGAGGAGACAGACAGATGAGACCCAGAGAGAAGGTGTCACGCTAGCCCAATGTTCTTGGACTCTATCTCCCTTCTCCCATCCATAAGAGCCAGGACTGAGCCGGTCATACACAGACATCATGTCACAATTGAAGAATGATTCCTGGAAGACCTGAGAGCCCTAGAAGTAGAAAGAGGAGACAAAGTGGGAGTGACAGATAGGGATGGAGCAATCAGTGTCTTTAAATTTGCACAAGCAGTTGATTGAACACTACCCTGCCCACTCCAGAGCCTGTTTCTGTCTCTCAGCTTCCTGCATCTGAATCCTGATCCCAGTAATGAATAGTTATGTTACTTTGGTCAAATCACTTAACCTCTCTGTTTACCCATTTACAATGTGGGGGTAATAACAAAATTGCATTGTTCTTATAATGCTGTGATGAAAATTAAAAATAAAATAATGTGTAAAGTGCTTAGATTTGGGCATGACACATAATACATGCTTGTGGTTTTTAGTTATTATTGATATTTTTATCTATTACTGAACAACGGGGAGCAGTCACACAGAGATGGGGCAGCAGCCAAATGTTTTCCAGGCTCTTGATTCTGTATCCCATGTCCTGACCCCTCCTTTTCCTAGGAGCCCTCCTGGACCCCACCTTCCTCTTCCAGTGTATCACCTCCAACATCATCTGCTCCATTGTCTTTGGAGAACGATTTGACTATAAGGACCGTCAATTCCTGCGGCTGCTGGACATGTTCTATCAGACTTTTACACTTATCAGCTCCTTCTATGGCCAGGTCAGGAGGAGGCAGAGGATGGGTGGGCTGAGGGGAACATCCAGGGCAGGGAGAAAATGTTCATCTAGTTTGGGGACTCAAAAGTGGAAGTGGGCTGGAAGAGGGGCAGGGACAACAGAGAGAAACAGAGAGGATGAGATCTAGAGGGAGGAAGAGATGGTGAATAGAGATGGAGAGATAGAAAGAAAGGGGAAGACAGAAATAGAGTCCTAGAATCACAAAGAAACTGAGGACTCAGGAGAGAGAGGAGAGGAAAATGAGGAGAGAGACAGACAGATTCCCCATGAGGTATGGGGACCCAGGAGAACTGCGTTTTTTTTTTGTGGTCGTAGGGTTTGAACACAGTGCCTCACACTTGCTAGGCAGGTGCTCTAGCACTTGAGCCACTCCTCCAGCTTTAGTGTCGTCTATTCCTTGAGTCATACAACACATCCTCAGATGGACCTCACAGCTCCTTCTTTCTTGCAGATATTTGAACTCTTCTCTGACTTCCTGAAGTACTTTCCTGGCACACACAGGCAAATCTATAAAAATCTGCAGGAAATCAATACTTTCATTGGCCACAGTGTGGAGAAGCACCGTGCAACCCTGGACCCCAGCTCCCCAAGAGACTTCATTGACTCCTACCTGCTGCGCATGGAGAAAGTAGGATCTGCATGGATGAGAGGAGGGAAAGGGTGGGAGTGAAAGATGGAGGGCTGAGAAGAAGGGAGGGAAAGGAGTAGGAAAGAAGAATGGGGAGGCAAAGAGCAGAAAATGGGGAGGAAAGAAAAGGGAAAAGGAAGGGGAGGAGATACAGAAGGGATGGAGTGAAAGGAAGAAAGTATGGAGGAGGAAGTAAAACGGGAAGGGAGGGAGGGAGGGAGGGAGGGAGGGAGAGAGAGAGAGAGAGAGAGAGAGAGAGAGAGAGAGAGAGAGAGAGAGAGAGAGAGAGAGAAGGTGGAATGCCTTAGGAAGAAACAAGAAACATAGGCCAAATGATAAAAAGCAGGAGAAAAAAACCCACAAGGTAAAAAGAGTCTGGGAGACAAAAAGTGAGAAACACACCAAAGGGGAGGAGAGAGTGATATAGAAGACAGAGTAGAGAGGCTGGAGAGACAGAGAAAGTGACAAATGGTTGGAAGTGTCCAGGATAGAAAAATAGAAAGTGGACCAGATAGCATGAGACCCAGAAACAGAGGGAGGGTGCCCAGAGAGAGTGTACCTTTCTCCATTGATGCTCCAGTATCCCCTGACCCTCCCTCTCCCTCTTGCCCCTCTGCAACCAGGAGAAGTCCAACGTGCACACTGAGTTCCACCACCAGAACCTCATACTTACCTTGCTCTCGCTCTTCTTTGCTGGCACCGAGACCAGCAGCACCACTCTCCGCTATGGCTTCCTGCTCATGCTCAAGTACCCTCATGTTGCAGGTAAGCCAGGGACAGTCATTTGGGAAGTTCTGCTTCTCCTCTTTGGCTGCAGAGATGGGTCTAGGGATGAGAGAGGCAATGCTGGTCAGTTATCTAGGAGCTCTGCAGGCTTTAGACTAGAGCTAACTGAGCCAGTCCTGTTAGTGGATGGGTGATTGAAGAATCTGTCTGCTTGTTCTTACACTTTTTCTACTGTTTTCTTCATTACTTAAAGAATGACCCATCCACCCATCTGTCCATCCAACCATCCATCCATCCATCTGTCCATCCATTCATCCATTTATCCATTCATTCATCCATCCCTCCATCCTTCCGTCTGTCCGTCCATCCATCCATCCATCCATCCATTCATTCATCCATCTATCCATCCATGAACTTCTTTTTTTTTTTGGTGGTACTGGAGTTTTAACTCAGGGCCTCATGCTTGCTAGGCAGGCACTTTTACCACTTGAGTCACTCTGTCAGACCTTATGCATGCATCCATCCATTATCTATCCATCCATCCACCCACCCACTAATCCATCAATCAATTGATTAATTCACCTGCTGATTCTTTCATCTACAACACATCCAAGGACATATGATTTTATTCATTGATTTGGGTTCATCACTTCATTAATTGATCCCTGAAACAGTGATGAATGAACTATATATCATTGGTTCATTGGCTGACACATTTTTTCATGCATGCATTCATCTTTCTCTGAATTAAGTTTCATTCCTTAATCCTCCCACTAACTACTCTTTCAATTCATCATTCATTCATCCACACATTCCTCCACTGAAAAACTCATTTCACTGATTTATCTTTCAATCCACCCACACAATTATTCCTTTATTTCCATACTTTCACTAATTTATTCATTCACAAATTCCTCTAAAAATTTACCATTCACATGATTATTTGTTAGTTAGCTTCACTGGTTTATTTGTCTATGAACCATTTATTAATTGATCAATCTATTAATTGATAAGTTGAACATATACATCCACTTACTGGTTTGTTGATTTCATTCATGCATTAATGTTTCCATACTTAATTGATTTATCAATTGATTGACTGACTCACATACTCATCACCTACACAGTTGTTCATGGATTAATCTATTGATATATTTCACTGTTACATTCCTGAACACCTAGTCCGGTGCCTAACCTGTAACACATATGTAATAAATATTAATTCATTTTCCATTCATCTTAGAAGGGGAGTTAGGACAGATTGGTAGACTGGAGTACTTAGTATAAAATTCCATGCAAATTGTGTGTGTGTGTGTGTGTTTGTGTGTGTGTAGTTGTGTATGTTGGGAGATAATTCACAACACTCATTAGATTTCAAAGGGTGAATTCTTACTTTCTCCCTCTGCTGTCACTGCACGCTGACTATTCTGAGTGGCATCAATGATCTAATGTTTTGCTCAAGGTTTCTCCTGGGTTATTGAT